TTGTAATTTTAGCATTGGGTTGGGGGGGTTGGGAAGGGATTAATTTTTAATTCTATTGTATGCTAAGTATTTTTATTGTTGTAACTCACCTGGATTCTTTGTGATTGGGCAGGCTATAAATATTATTATTATTATTATTATTGTTATTGTTATTATTATTATTCAGCTGTGGTGTCTGAGACTGCATCCATACTGCAGAAATAATCCACCACTTTAATTGCTGTGGCTGAATGCTATGGAATTCTGGATTTGTAGTTCATCATGGCACCTGAGCTCTCTGACAGAAAAGGCTAAATGTCTCAAAAAACGACAATTCCCAGAATTTCATATCATTGAGCCATGATAGTTAAAGCAGTATCAAACTGGATTATTTCTGCAGTGCAGATGCAGCTTGAGACAGATCTTTCCCCATACAATATCTGCATTATAAACTATTTTAGATTTAACATCTTCAATAGAATATAGATGTGCACCCAGTTGCAGCTTATTATTACAAAATACATCAGACCAGTGATGTGGCTAAACAATAAACTCCGTGATCTAAACTGTATTTCCAACTCCAGCTAGAGCAAAACCGTTAAATCAATGATTGAATGGTAAGCCAATTTTTACCTAACTCCCACTGATTCAATGGATCTGCAATAGTGGGACAAGCAGCTGGATTAAGGCCTATGAAATTTGTTATAAAATAGTTGAAACAAATGTGATTTGTGTATTTAATGCAACTAGAAATACTATCAAAGACAGCCAGCATGGTGTAGCAGTTTGAGTGTTGGACTATGACTCTGGAGACCAGGGTTCAAATCCCTGTTCCACTGAGTGATCTTGCGCAAAGTGACATTCTCTAAGTCTCAGAGAAAAACAAAGGCAAAACCTTTCTGGACAAATCTTGCAAAGGAGACCCCATGATACTGAAAATGACTTGAAAGCCACAACAACAACAACAACAACAACTGCAGCAAACACTACCAAAATGAATTCTAATAAAATAATCTGTAAACAGAAGAAACAAGAGGGATTATATGCTTCCCTGAGTTTTGTTAATCAGTGCTTTCACAATGCAATAAAGTTCTGAATCTTGTTGATCAACAGAATTTCTACTAGGCAGCACCAATAAACACTCATACTACATTTCTATCTAGACACTACTTCAATAAAACAACAGAGAAGCAGCAGGCAGAATTTCAGACTTGCAAGATGTATCAAGATCCCACCAGCAGAAAAGGGAGAGAAAATGGGGGGGGGGGGGGGGGAGAAACACCCCTAATTCATATAAGGATTTAAAAAAAAAAAAACACTTTGCAATAATGCAATGCTATAACTGTTAGTATATGTTGCAAGTTAAGAAAGAGGAAACAAAGAAAAAGGAGAGTATATGGCTTTGAAAACCACAGAAATAAACATTGGTTCCTCTTCCTGCTCTTAAACATGTGTTCTCTGTTACCTTTTCCTAAGGATATTACAGGGGTAGGCAACCAAGGGACTTCAGCTCCCAGAAGCCTCAGCCATGTTGGCCAATAGTCCCATGTTGGCCAATAGCTCCTGGGATTCTGGGAGCTGAAGTCCCTCGGCCCTTAAAGGGGAAAGGTTGCCTATCCCTGAAGCACTTCATATTCTATCTGATCTTGAAGCTAAACAGCATCAGTTCCAGTTAGTACTTGGATGGGAGACCGCCAACAAATACCAGGTGCTGTAGGCTATATTTCAGAGGAAGAAACTGGCAACAGCACTTCCAAGTATTCCTTGCATAAGGAATCCAAATTAAATTCATGGGACTGCCATAAGTAACTTCTGTATCTCAATATCTTTCATAGTCATGGCTATATGCACTTCAGTTCAGAAGGTCTATATACTGCTCTTGGAGTAATCTATGGGAGTTAAACACGGGCCACAGTATTACTTAATACTGTTCTGCTCTCAAGATTCAGGTTTTTCCCAATATACCTACAGACTTCCTGAAAATGGTATATAGTGTCAAAGGGCAGAGAGAAACCAGAATGAGAAAAGAACGTGCAGGCCTTGCCAAAAAAGAGATATGCAACCAAATGCTATTGCAGGACACATACGTTTCTTTCAGTAAAGTCCAGAATAATCTTGTTTTTGAACTTTCACAATACAAACTTTCAAGCCAACCAACAGTGCTGGCAAAATAAAATGTGTAAAGCTGGCCATTAACTTCTATATTTATATGATGAAACAC